TAAGCACAAAAAAATAACAACAAGCCAGATCACATATATAAACAATATGGTAATAATCCCAAAACTAAACTATATACTTCAATTAACTAAAATTTCAGAAAAAAGAATACATGAAATACATTAACCAATAATATGTTTAGCAAAAGAAAAAGCAGCTTGCAAAGAACAATAAAAAATTGCATAATAGAACATAAAGATTTTAGTAGGTATAGAATACTACAACAAGAGCTAGTAATAAAGCAAGTAAGTAGTTTGCTGTAAAGATTGAATAGACAAGACAGCCTAGATCAGTTAACAAAGCTAAGAATTACACAAGACTGTCAAAGAGCAGGTTTGACAGAAGATATTTGAAAAGTAGAAGAAATATCAGTTAACAAAGTGTGGTAGAAAAACAACTTAGCATGTCTGACAGTAATAAAAGCAAAAAAGCTAGAAATAAGCATAAGAACAGAAAGTAATTTTTGAAGAATATTTGGATATGATACTAAAATAAGAGAACTTTTAGAAATACAGTTATGGAAAAGAAATAGAATAGAGATAAATGAAGCAGGTCTAATTTACCTAAACCAACTGTTTGATATAAAAGGTGAGAAGCTGATTATATGGTAACAATTTAAGAACTTTTGTGAATGTTCAAATAAATAAAAAAAAACAGAATGATTTAAAGAAATAGAGTCCAAAGTACTCAAAGAACCAATGAATAGAAGAATTAAAGAACACTTTAAGACAAACAAACATAATACTCAAGCAATAAAAATGGTATAAAAGGTTACATTAAAAAATAAAAGAAGAAAAAAGTGAATAATATACAGTATACAAAAAGATAGACAGCTAGAAAAGATAATAAAGAAGAAAAAGAAAAAGGTTTTACTAGAGCATTAGCAAATACAAAGTAAAGAGAATGAAATAGCAACAGAAATTAGCAGATGTAATGGATGCATAGAAAAAGAAAAATAGAAAGAAGACAGTTGCTAGAAATGGATAAGAATAAATAACAAAATTAGAATAGTTCCTGACACATTGATAGAAAAAAGGAATAGTAAGATCAAGATAGACATAGATCAGTTAATAGAAAAAGCAGAAACAAAAAGGTTGAAAAACAGTGAGCAGCAGCTTGAAGGACTAATGATGCTTAAAGGATTAGAAATAGAAATAATCAAGAGACAGAAACTAAACGAGAATGTCAAACATGAAATTCTGAAAATGCTAAAAAGAAACCTATTGAGAAACAAAAACAAATATATTATATATACAGATGGTGCTACAAACATAAAGACTAAAGAAGAAACACAAAACAGTAGTATGGAAGTAGGATAGGTTCAAACAAATGAAATGCAAAAGTAACCAGAAGAAGAAACATCATTAGGTCTAGAAGGATGGATGACATTGACAACAGCAGAATTAGTAACAATATGGGCAGCAATCCTAACAATACCAAAAGAGAGATAAGTAAAAGTATATACAGACAGTAATGTTGCAATAAAAAATATTAGTAGAGATTTAAAGCAAATAAATAGAACAAAAATTCTTAAAAAGAAAAATGTGATATAGATAATAAAGATCATAGATCTTATCAACACAAAAAATATACAGATAAAGTTAGTAAAAGTTAAAAGTTATAACAAGAACAAATGAAATAACAAAGCTGATAGTCTTGCAAAGAAGAGAACAACAAGTAAGAAAGTAATACAAATAGAGAAAATCAATTGTAAAGAGATTGAGTACTGCCTAGAGTGGAAAAAAAAATAAATTAATATACCAGCAAGATTATTATATAAATTGGTAACAAATACAAGATTAGAAGCAGAATGAAAAAAAACAAATGTAATCAGAAAATTAGAACCAAAAACAAAAATCATAATTTATGATTAGACACAATTTTGAAAGAACCTAAAAATGACTAAAGAAGTGTATTGCATAATGAGAAGAAGTAGTATGAAAAAAGATATGTTTATAAAGTATATGATAGATAAACTTCTAACTCTAGAAGAACTTAATAGAAGAAGACCAGATATATACATAATAACAGAGTGCCAAGTTTGTCAAGATAAAGTTAAAGAAACACAGTCATATCTAGCATCATGCAAAAGACAACAGAGTCTTTGAAAACAAATCCAAAAAATAACTATTACAATAGCCTAGAAAAGGTTAAAAGAAGAAGAAAAAACCTGCATCTCAACATATATACTATATACAGCACATTTTAGAAAAAGTAAAGTAGAATAAATAGAGATAAAAGAAGCTTTAATTAAAAGCTTAATTCTGGAAAAGATACAAGACAGACTAACACAACTTCTAAATACAAAAGCAAGATAGCAGTTTATTGAGACAATGGCAAAGACAGCATGGATACATTCTATGAACAAGTTTAAAGAATATGGTATGAAAAGGTCAATGAATAGAAGAAAAAAGAAGATATAACAACTAAAATGAAGAAAAAGGAAATAAAGTAGAAGAATCCAAAAAAGAAAGGAAAGGCAAATCAGCAAAAGATTAAAGAAAAAAAGAAACAAGTAAAAGAAAAAAAGGATAGAATTATTAAAGAAACTAGAAAAACAATGTTGGGGCTTGTTATGAAAGAGAAAAGACTCTTTTACTATAGACTTTAAGTAGTCAGACAAGTAGTCTAGTTCTGTTTAAAATAATGCAGCAGGTTGCACTTAGGTACCCTGTAGATGGCCAGATGATGCTAAACTTAGTTGTTAGATAAATCTATATAATTGCAAAAGTAATTTCAAAAATTTTAATAAAGTATTAGCATAACTGCTTAAATTAAAAAAAAAAAAAATTATGGATAATGAATATTATAGATCTAATCAAGAGCAAGAACATTAAAATAAAAATAACTAAAATTAAAAGTCATAGTAAAAACAAGTAAAATGACAAAACAGACTCTCTGGTAAAGAAAGGAGCAAAATATCAAGATAAAATATATGCAGATAAAGTCAAATATAATAGAATAGAATACTATCTAGAGTGAGAAAACAAGAAAATTGACATACTGGCAAGACTTCTGTATAAAATAATAGCAAATACTAGAATAGAAACTAGTTGAAGAGAGACAAATCCAATATGAGTATTAGAACCAAAAACAGAAAATATGTTATATAATTGGTCAAGTTTTTAGAAAAAAATAAATAAACAAAAGGAGTGCATTGTATATCAAGAAAACTCAGTACAAGAAGAACCATAGTAATAAAATGCATAATGAATAGCCTGCCAATGCTTAAGGAGATAAACAGAAGAAGACCAGAAGTGTATACAATAGGAAAATATCAAGTATGTCAAGTCAAAGAAAAAGAAACTTAAGCATATTTAGCAAGTTGTAGTGAACAAAAGAGTCTATAGAAGCAAATTCAAAAAGTTGCAACAGTAATGACATAGAATAGACTCAAAGAAGAGGAAAAAACAAAATTCCATCACAAGTTCTATATAAGGCATTATTGGAAGAAATAGAAGCTGAAGAAATTACAAATAGTAAAATGCTAATAAAAGAACTTATGACACTAAAAGTAGAAGAAAGACTTGAGCAACTTCTAAGCAAGCAAGCAACACAGAAATGCATATATATAGTAACAAAAACAGTATGGAACACTTTCTATGACCAAGTATGGAGAGTACAATGTGAAAAAATACAAGTCTGGAAGAAGAAGATTAATATAACAAACAAAATGAAAAAAGGTGCTTGTGGAAGAGTAAAAACAAAGAAGAGGACAAAGAAAAATAAACAAGCAAAAGAAGAAGAAAAAGAAAAAAAAGCAAAAAAAGAAGAACAAATAAAGAAAGAAGTCTTGAAGACAATAAATATGTTCGTCACAAAAGGGAGAAAACCCTTCTGGTATGGCTTTAAGTAGTTAAATAAGCAGTTTATCTTTAACTAAGATAGTGTGACAGGTTGCACTTAGGTATCATTAGGGTGACCGAGTGATGCTAGACTTAGATATTGGGAAATTCTATATAATTGTATAGATATATAATTTCAAGAATCTTAATAAAGTACTAGTGTAACTGCTTAAGATTTAAAAAAAAAAAAAATTTCCAAAATTGATCAATTTGGTACAAATTATCCCATTCTTCTATGTAGAATTTTAAATAAGTTGAATCATAATGATACATTTAAATACCATCTTGGGTACAAAGATAGTATATTAAATAATCTATATTATATAAAAGAAATGGAACCATTAGGCATAAGAGAGTTTCCAGAATTAAAAAATATCACAACAGATTATATATCTGCTAGAGAAGCAGCATGAAGCTAAAATTTTGGTACATTTACAGAAACAATATGCAAATGTAAAGGTAACTGTAGTACTAATAAATATCATTGCAAAAAAGCTAGCACTAGATGTGAAAACAAATGTCACAATGGAAATACATATGATAACAAAGCTCAAATTTAATATGTGTATTATTTTAATTATTTGTTATTTTCTGCTTCATATGTAATTGATGAAATTAATTTAACGCAAATCATAAATTTGAATCTTATGCATCTCAAAATAAATTTCAATTTGACACAACTCAGTTTTAAATCCACGCACAACATATACATGATTTTAGCAAGGTGACTTAGTTGCCCTATCTTCAATAATATAACAACTCTATTCTGAACTAGAAAGTGGATTCTCCGATGAACATGTGAGTATTTGTAATGATTTTTATCAGTGGAAGTTATTTCTTATACTGAGCCGACAAGCCTCTCCTTGCAGGTCCAAGATCTTTAATGTATAGTCATAGTCCGATAAATTAACTGTAACTCAATCATAACATAATTTATTAGCTCAACTATCAGAGTATTAAATAATGATAAGTGGATTTATATCAGAAATCTCTTATGTTTTAATGCAAGATTGGCCTCAAGGGCTGCTTTATTAAATGCAAAAATTATTAGAGATATAGTAGAAGAACTCTAGAGAAAAAATCCATACCACTATCATATACTGCGAATAACAGTTTCAGGTAAAAAGAAAACCATCATTTCTTGGGAATTATTTCCATTATCGTTGATTCGTTTTGTAATTGTTTTTTTTTGCTGGTGACGCTTCTAATGGATTTTCATTTGAGGGAGTATATTTCTGCGCCTTCCACGAGATGTCCTGCAACTTAAGGTAATAATCCATTACACGGCTCTATAATGCCAAATCTAATGTTAGATCAATGAACAATATATATAGTGATTACCAAAACTTGTACCTTAAAAAAATACACTTTTTCTACGATTTCATCTAACACATATGCCTGGTTCTGTTGTCCGGAATCGTGAAGTTTGTAAGAATGTCAACAATGTGCAAACCTCCTTTATAATGGTGCATTGTGTAGATTGTTGTCTCACGCTCTAAAATAACAGGGCAAAATATGATGGATAATTTGAATCGGTAATAAGTACAGCACGAACGCTACGTACGGTACACAAATACACCAAAACTTTGAAGGCAGTCAAGTTGTTCTTCTGTTGCATTACGTCGTAGGTGGTGCTGTCGCTGGTAAAATATTGACAACTGCATCACTACAAAGATAAAAAGATTCCATGAACTTTATTGCATAAAGAATTCAAGACGTGAATATCTAACAATTACAAACCCTTAAACAATTTCTCCAGATCTTCATGATATTTTGTAAGATCCACAACCATTGCGTTCTCTACAACCTCTAAGAATCCAATTTCTATCTCACTTGCATTCATGTAAATCTTTAAAATCCCGTCATGATTTGACCCAAGCATTACCCGAGGCTTTTGGCCTTTTGTCTGGTTTCGATGTTGTTTACGTAATGCGCTCTCTATCTCTCCACTAAATATTATATTCGATTAATCAAGGATTCATTACATCTAGTATAAATACAATAAACTAAACTATACAAAATATATAACATATGTTTGAAACCTGATCTTGTCGTTCATATCCTCGAATGCCTTGGGAATTATAGGATTTACAAATGCTTCTCTGTAAGCTATCTCCGATGTATTTGCATCGCGAAGCATGTTAAAAGAAGAGACGAACAAGAAAATACTAAAATAAAATACAGAAATTAATCAATTGACTGTGTTGCATTATACTAAGTAATAAGGTATACGGTATACTTACAATCGCTGATAGATATTTTGTACCCATAACATGTCATAATGTTTTTTGAAATAAAACTCGCCTTCGAATGGTATTTCGAAGATAATTTTTGTTGATGGTTGATCCACATAATCATCAAAAACTAATTCTGGCTTCACCTCAACAGCAAGTGCATACTTGTCAATTAGAGGCTTTATACTATTTTCCCACCTAGGCCGACGCAATGTATTCTGATTCTCTTCAGCCGATGGCTCCATCTAAAAGAATGTGCAAGATTATTACTGATTACAATCCAAAGCTAAGTAATACATACTTCTTCCCAGAATTTTCTCATTCTTTTTTTATCATCATCCGAAAAGACTTTATTTATTGGGTCTACAAGACTTTTTTCGGAGAGATTGACAATATGATATTCAAAAAGACGATAATTTACATTTTCCATCTTTGTGATGAGGTCTTGAACCTCGGTTGATGCATTTTCGTTCTCATATTGATAATGTAAATCGTTGTCCTCACTATTAAACTGAATTTGAGCTTGACGGGGAAGGGGAGTGCGAGGTGCATCCGATGCGGCTGTCTCAAGAAAGATGTTCGTAAGAGAAACTGGTATAATCTCAGAGTCTGAGTCTGACGAGAAATCAACTTTGTCACATGGTAAAGAGTTGGTTGTTCTGATCTGTATATTTAAAAGGTGGTCAAATGATTAAAAAAGTTTTGATAGCTAAATTTTAGATTATATACTGACCTTAGTTGGCAGAGTTGATAATCCTTCTTCATAATCGTCCGTATTTCGTCTTTTTCTTTCTAATACTTGAATATGCTCATTTAACATATTGGATCTTATTTGACAAGCATTTTGTTCCTAGACGGTTTGCAAAAATAAGTTAATAATAATAACAACTTCACTAAACTTATTTATTAGAATGTAGATTACTGACTTCTTTTTCTTGTAATATAATTTGTGCAGTTTGAGTATTAACTTTCTCTTCGCGAATACGGAGACCATTCCAAAAGCGTTGTGTGGCTGCAGAGTTGACAATCTCGCTAAAATTGGCGAGCTGTTACGGCTTGTTCGCCATTCTCAGATACAATGACCTCTAATGCGTTGAATAGGGCTTCCTCTGTCCGTTTTTTTTGAATATACGTAAATTCGGTCTTTTTGAAAAACTTATTAGCACTAAAACCGGTTGATAAAATTTCTTTTAGCACTTCGACATAATAAGCCTGCAGATAAGTGATATAACAAAATGACAGTAATATGTTAATATCACGAATCAACTCAATAGCGACTAATAGGTTTTAATGTAGACCATGATATTGATCCTAAAAGGAATAATATCAAAAATGAATTAGTAAGAGATTTAAATAACGTTTCTGCTTTCTACAACTCTAGCCCAACCCAAAACTTTCTCCAGATAATATAAAGTTGCTAAACGAAAGTCAATACATAGATTGAGACTCAATCATGCAAGTCTTACTATGCTAGCCGTTTCACCTTCCATACCAGAGGCAGACGAATCTCCTCAGGCTTTACAGGACGGGGAACCGTTGGATATAATAACCAAGACCTTACACATCCTTCGAAAGCCGATATACATCCATTTCGCTTTCAACACCAGAGGCAGATGAATCCCCTCAGGCTTTACATGCCAGGGAAACGCTGGGTTTGCAAAGAACATAATGTAAAAACCATACTTAACTTCTCAAATCAATTTACGTAATCGAATGATGATCAGTTGTTTCGAAATTGAGCGTTCGTGGGCGTTGCACTGATATCTCAGATAGTGTTGTGTTAGGCGAAACTTAGAGGTTTCGCCAAAAAAAAATTGAAAACTGTGAAATGGCGAAACTGGCGAAACTACTAAAAGATCATGATTTACAGAAATCAGAAATAGATACCGTATTTTATTATTATTTGATTTATTTTATCAAAATGAAACAAAATAATCTAATTTTAATATGAAAGGGTGAAACCCGCGACGCGACGGAGGTACGTTGCGTTGTTGATGCAGATCTTACTTAGTTAAGGTTAGGGATAGGTTAATTACTATTTTAGATAGTGATCTGCATCAATAACGTAACCACTTTCGCGGGTTTCACCCTGTCGTATTTTAATTACTAAATTATAATATATTATTAATAAGGTAGCTGCGCTGTCACGCTACGTAGAAACCAGGAACGAAAGCAAATATAGTAGTTAACAAAATAGTCATTAATATATTGTGTACATTATAGGCAATTGACTCGCATTAGCTTATCAAACAAAAGTTTTACAAGGCATCATATAATAAACTAGGCTATGTTAAGGAAATCCCGAGCTGCCGACCAAAAAATATGGGTTCGTAGTATCTCAAAAATTCCCTATATATCTAACATTAAATATTGTGTCCTATGAATATAGTCCGGGAATATACCATAAATGGATAGTGCGCTGACCAATCAAATTGAAGATTGGCTATTAAGTCAAAAAAAATTTTTTTTACTTCGTTTTTTTATTAATTTTAATCTAATTATTTTAATACTATATTGCTGTATTGAGAATCTAACTATATACAATTTATTTATTTTGTTTTTTTAAAATAAATTTTATTTTTTATTTATTAATCATGCTATGTTACGAATATACCAAACTCATGCTACGTCCTGAATCAACCAACTCTTATCCTAAATCTGCCTATTATTCATATATCCATTATGAATCTATCTAACTATTGTGCTACATTTGTTCCAATTATTGTGTTAAGTTTATTCACTAACATGCTATATCTGTTTCTATTTTTGTTCTAATTATCATGTTACATTTATTCTAAATCTACCTAACTATCTTTGCTATATTTATCTATCTCAACTATAATACTAATATTCATTTTTACTATTATATTATGTTTTATCTCAACTATTGCTAAGTTCAAACTATTGTATTATGTTCATTTCACCTATGTTTGTTCAACTATCATACTTATTCTAATTATTATATTATATTTATTTTAACTATATTACATTTATTTCTATTATGTTATGTTTATTCAATTATTGTGTTATGTTTTTTTTTACTATTATGATATGTTTGTTTTTACTATTATATATATTACATTTACATGGAGAATCAGGTTAATGACAGTCAGACCCAACATACAGGACAGGCTATGGTATTCTGCACAGCTATGCAAGCTAAGCATACAGTGAGCAAATCTACAGAAGAATCCTTTATTTTCTTAAATCTCATTTCATCATCTCATATTAAAGAAGAATTACAAGATTTAGTTTATAATACATTATATAATTCAAACTCATGCTATAACATGTGGTTAGCAGAATTAAACCTACCTTTACTTTTATATCCTTAAACACTTAGCTTCTTTTTAAAACACATTCATTATTATAATTATATACAATTAAACAATTTTAACTACGTATTTATAATATCAATCAAAATTGATTTTAGTGAATACTATATACATTTATTACACAAATCTCAATCTTTATCTGAACATTTTTTTTCACAATTATCAAGCTATACTTATTATCTATCCATACCTATTTTTTCTAAATTTTCTCTAACAAACAACAACATATCAAATACAAATTTAATTATAAAGAAAAATAACATAAACTACTCTTATTTTCAACTAATAGGAGTTATTTAGAAGGTCATAATGAAACTGACATAACTAAACAACACTATGACAACATCCAATTTAATATCTGTTATAACAAATTTCTATTCTATAATCATCTATCAATGCTTTCTCATCCACAAACTATTACTTCTTTCTTACAACATATGCATAACTTTGGCTATTTATCTAATAATACTTGTAATTATATATTAACAATCTCTATTAAAAATGATCATAGTGAAGCTCATGTTTATTTTTTATCAGAAGCTAAACCATTACCTTATCATTTTATTTCTCCAATTCAAGCTATTTGGCATTATTTGAATATTCAACTAAAATCAAACACATTAATACTAGTCTTCTCTATACCAGTACCTTTAGCTTCTATTTTTAGCAATTTAATACAACTCAGAAACCCTAATATCTCATCTCTAAATCTCATAAACTGCACTCACAATATCTAAGAATACAATAAAAATCTCAAATAGCAGTCTGAGAGGATTACTATATCACTCATTCCTTAAACATTATCAGTATCACAAAAACTAAAATAGCAGAAAATAATACTATTATCAAATTTTATAACTCAAAACACTACTCTTATTATTGTTCATATACTAATAGTTCCAAAGTAGGAACTGCATTCATGATTTACAAATACCTAACACCTCATATATATAATATCTTTATTCTTTCTGACTACACTATAGCTATAGATCTTTTGTTTAAATATAATCATAAATTCCAAATTATCTTTATATATCTATCATATAAAAACTCACAATTAAGACTTCAAATTTAAAACACCATTATTCAATAGATTCAAGAAGCTACTAATTGAAACATTCTACTCATAATACTAGGTGACTTTAATATACCATCTAACAACTCCACCTCCTCATCTATTAAATACAAACTATTGCAATTCCTACAATATAATAATATTTATAATCTGGCAGATCATACAAATACCTTCTCTCATATCTGGCATAACAGTAGACAATACAGTACTATTGACTATATTTGAGCCTATCTTTTTTTACTTAAATACCTCAATTCTTTCTATTTGGATGATACAGAAAACTGCACTTAAAGCAATCACAAAATTCTTATATTCTTTTGGACATTTTCTTATACCCTTATAGACAAAAACAGACATTCAACTAGAACCAAATACAGAACTTTTAACTGCAAAGCAATGAACAAAGAGCAATAGGAAATCTTTGCTAACCAAGTTTTTCTTAACCTTATTACTAATAAAACACCTCTTTCTACTCAAACTTCTGAATCTTTTAAAACTGCCTGACATAAAATTCAAACTAGTATTATTAATACTACTACTAAATGCATTCCTAACAAAAAAACAACAATTCACAACTTTTAATATTCATTTTCAGCTAATGCTATCTTACTTTATCTAAATTTCAAAAAACTTAATAACATTATTAGACAAGTTAAAGTCTCTTTAACTAATTCATTATCTATACCTATACATCTCAATCCTACTATACACTATCTTAACTCAACACATTACCTTAATATACCTCTTATATCTAACTCTTACGTATGAGCTTATACCAAGCTGAATTACTACTACTAATACTGAATGACAAGCTCTTTATCATGCCCAAAACATAGAAAATATTAAACAAATTTGAGAACAAATAAATCAGCAGATTAATCTTTGATGCTTTAAACTCCAAACTAATCTCAAACTTATGATCAACAGCATACTCAATCATCATAAGAATCTAGTAAAATTTAACAACATAAAAATATCAAATCATATCATTACAGAATCCAAACTAATTAAAGAATATATTCAACATTATTTTGACAACTGGACTGCCTACAGACCTATTAATGATCATGAATTCAATACCAACTGGTTAGCAAAATATAAACCAAAAGCTATCACTAGTTTAAACTATTATAATTCAGCCTTGGCTAAATTTTTACTTGATGAAATCACTAGAACTTTTAACCAACTTTTCAATAACAAAGCATATGGACCATCTGAAATTAGCTACAAAATGCTTAAACAGGCTGGTTCCATTTTTCTTCAAGCAATAGTTGTTTTTTTTAATCGATATATTCAAACTTCTTATATATCTAAGTAATAGAAAGAAGGTCACATCTTTTTTTTTTTTTTTTTAAATATTAAGGTGAGTACTTGTGACCCAGGATTTTATTGATAGTATATTTGGCTAATGAT